CGAGGCCGGCTGCAGAGCGTTCCCTGCGCATGCGCAGGGAACGCTCTGTCAGTTTTGGGGGGATTTAAGTATCCCCCCATTTTTTTTTAACTTTTCAGATTTTTGTACACACCTGGGGACCACCCCACGTGTGCACAAAGCTATCCGCACACCAGGGGGCGACTTGACTATTAGATATATAGATATGGAGCAGAGGTCCATCAGTGGCTATCAGCCACAAGGTATAGATAGGGACTCTGGGACAAGTGATGTTCTGTCTTCTTGGTGCTTGGGGGGTGGGGGCAACAGTGGGAGGGCTTCTAATGTCCTGGCCCCACTGGTGGACCTCGTGATGGCACCTGGTATTTTTGGCCACTGTGTGACAGACTGTTGGACTGGATGGGCCTTTGGCCTGATCCAAAATTGGCTTCTCTTATGTTCTTATGTACCATACAATATAAGCTGGGGTTGACTTTATGCCCCTTGTTGGGTGTTCCTTGATTTCAGCCTGTATTTCTGCCACATCATGTATGAATTGGTCATAAATGGCAGATCACCAGGTAATCCTGTTGATGTGGTTTAAGAAAACAGCTGTGTGCATGAACTATCACCAAACTTCTTTTCTGATTCACACTTTCTAAGAAGTAGGCAAAAAACAATAATTCAGCAGTTACCAGATGATTTTCCCATGTTGTTGGATTCTTTCATATTTACAGTCTGGCACTGTGTGTGTGTTGTGTGTGTGTGCGTATTTGTGTATTAGCACTGAATAGCAATGAGCTAAAGCAGTGAGGATTGTTAGAGTACAAAATGTGGACATTGTATTGAAAAGGTCTCTGCTAGCAAACAATGCTTTGGTTCATGATGTGTTGTGTTTTTCCTGCTACTGCTTTACTAGCACAGTCCTGAATTCTTAATGATGCATTTTAAGGCTCCTGAAGGATAGCATAACCGTGGTGTATTGTTTGAGGGCCCTGAAATGATGAGCTTGTTTTAAAAACAAACAAACACAAAACAAACATGAGCGAGAGAGACATAAAGTTTCCTAAGTGATTGACCTGAAATATATGGCTTGTGTTTGCAGCTCTTACAGTAAGAAGGTAAAGTGCTCTTGATTTAAAGACAGAGAGGATCAGTATTGAAGAAGCCAGCATCCACAAATTGCAGCTGGGCTCGGTAGCCAGATGTTGCTCTCTGTTAGCCAGTCCAACTCCACCACAACAGTACCTATAATTATAAGATAATTACTAGTCTAATCAGAGATTTTTTTTGGGGGGATGCATACCCTTATACTGGAAATGGGCCTCCAAAATCACATAAAACAAGGTTAACACCCGCATCCCAGATTCTTTGTAGAAGAAGATGATGATATTGGATTTATACCCTGCCCTTCACTACCCAAGTGAGTCTCAGAGCTGCTTACAAACTCCTTTCCCTTCCCCTCCCCACCACAGACACCCTGTGAGGTAGGTGGGGCTGAGAGAGCTCTTGACAGAAACTGCTCGTTTTCAAGAACAGCTGTGCCAGAACTATGGCTTGCCCAAGGTCATCCAGCAGGAGCAAGTGGAGGAGTGGGGAATCAAACCCGGTTCTCCCAGATTAGAATCTGCACATATAGTCATGGAAGCTGTCCAGTTTGGTGTAGTGGTTAGGAGTGTGGACTCTAATCTGGGAGAACTGGGTTTGATTCCCCACTCCTTCACATGCAGCTGCTGGCATGACCTTGGGTCAGTTACAAGTTCTCTTAGAGCTCTCACGAGCAGTTCTCTCAGCCCCACCTACCTTACAGGGTGACTGTTGTGGGGAGGGGAAGGGAAGGGAGTTTGTAAGCCACTCTAAGACTCCTTTGGGAAGTGGAGGGCGGGGTATAAATCTAATCTTCCCCTCCTCCTCCTCCTCCTCCTCCTCCTCCT